CCCCCCCCATCCATGGACCAGGAAACACGGTAACTCAAAAGAAAATGTACACATATTAACAATACCAAATGAATCAAACGTGCATGCACATTGATCAATTGTGTATATATAATATGAAAAAATATTTATCTACAACAACCTACACACAAAGAAATTACCCACCCAAGTCCATTGCTGATGGTGGTTTAGGCCCTCACATGGTGAAGGCCAGGACTGAGGCCTTCACAACACCTATAGGAGCTTGTGCAGGGAGAAGGGGTTCTGATGTGCTACACTGCTACTGCAGCATGCCTATTATCTTTTGTGGCATCAGTTAAAAATGGCAGAGCTCTGTTATTAACGGCTTTTGCTTTTTCTGTGTTAACATTTCAGGAGTGATTTCCTCAGTTTACCATTCCAAGCTATAGAGTGCAGCCTATCAGGAGTGAAACCAAAAGGTAAAGTCCTTGTCTGAATACCATCATCACAGGCATGTAAATAAAAAGTAAAAAAAAAAATGTATGCATCATTTTGAATTACTCTATGATGGTGTGTTTTTATATTTCCTGAACTGTTCACATCCTGTTCCTCAGGAGAGGCATGGACTGAGGCAGCCCTGGATGACTTTGATTGCCTGACTTACTGTTCTTCCTGGAGGCCCCTGCAGGCCAAACTATGCAGCTACTCTCATTCAGATACCTCCTCCTGGCCCAGTGTCAAACTCTATGACAATAGTGAGGGAGAGGTCAGACATCTTTTTATTAGTTCTATATGTTTATCTGTTTAGCCTCTTGCTCCGTTTCCTTGCTCACATCATGTTCATCCTAGACTGTAGATATTGGTGAGGAGCTCATACGACTGGGCCATGCTGTCAGCTTCAAGGAAGTGGTGAATGGAAAAACAGAGGGTGGCTGTCTGCGAAGGATGCTGGTGAGTCACTGAACACACTTGATTGTTATTGGTCTCACTGACCTCATTAATACAAGTGATTAAAATGTTTAACTGAAGGGTTTTGTGGAATGACACTAGTGTGTTTAAAGTTCACTTTCATGGCAAAAAATGATTGAAGTGTTGTTTTTGTCAGAGTGAAATGGGTTTGTCTAGCTTTTTTGGAGATATACAGTCTTATGCAAAAGTTTAGGCACCCCTTGATAAATAACAGATTTTGGTGATTTTTTATTTGAACAGATGTTAACACAGTTTCTCTTGGAAATGGAAAAAATGCACAATATTTTCAGCAAACAGTGATGCATAGTTACTTCTTATGCCATAAATTGAACAAAAATAAAAAATGAGAAAGAGAATAATTGAGCTCTATCAGTTTGGAAAAGGTTATAAAGCCATTTCTAAAGCTTTGGGACTGCAGCGAACCACAGTGAGAGCCATTATCCACAAATGGCGAAAACATGGAACAGTGGAGAACCTTCCCAGGAGTGGCCGGCCGACCAAAATTACCCCAAGAGCGCAGCGACAACTCATCCAAGAGGTCACAAAAGACCCCACAACAACATCCAAAGAACTGCAGGCCTCACTTGCCTCAGTTAAGGTGAGTGTTCATGACTCCACCATAAGAAAGAGACTGGGCAAAAATGGTTTGCATGGCAGAGTTCCAAGACGAAAACCACTGCTGAGCAAAAAGAACATAAAGGCTCGTCTCAGTTTTGCCAGAAAACATCTTGATGATCCCCAAGACTTTTGGGATAATAGTCTGTGGACAGAAGAGACACAAGTTGAACTTTTTGGAAGGTGTGTGTCCCATTATGTGTGGCGTATATGTAACACCGCATTTCAGAAAAAGAACATCATACCAACAGTAAAATATGGTGGTGGTAGTGTGATGGTCTGGGGCTGTTTTGCTGCTTCAGGCCCTGGAAGACATGCTGTGATAAGTGGAACCATGAATTCTGCTGTGTACCAAAATATCCTGAAGGAGAATGTCCGGCCATCCGTTTGTGACCTCAAGCTGAAGCGAACTTGGGTTCTGCAGCAGGACAATGATCCAAAGCACACCAGCAAGTCCACTTCTGAATGGCTGAAGAAAAACAACATGAAGACTTTGGAGTGGCCTAGTCAAAGTCCTGACCTGAATCCAATTGAGATGCTGTGGCATGACCTTAAAAAGGCAGTTCATGCCCGAAAACCTTCCAATGTGGCTGACTTACAACAATTCTGCCAAGATGAGTGGGCCAAAATTCCTCCACAGCGCTGTGGAAGACTCATGGCAAGTTATCGAAAACGCTTGATTGCAGTTGTTGCTGCTAAGGGTGGCCCAACCAGTTATTAGGTTTAGGGGGCAAACACTTATTCACACAGGGCTTTGTAGTTTTGGATTTTGTTTTCCCTTAATAATAAAAACCTTCATTTAAAAACTGCATGATGTGTTTACTTGTGTTATCGTTGACTAATATTTAAATTTGTTTGATGATCTGAGACATTACAGTGTGACAAACATGCAAAAAGATAAGAAATCAGTAAGGGGGCAAATACTTTTTCACACCACTGTATCTGATTGTCTTCATCAGTTTGTGGAGGTTCTCAGATGTCATTACATAGGTGTGGAATTTCAGCCGTGTGACAATATGTGGTCATACTGTATGTGAAGGGGGATCATAATCCCTGTCTCATACCATCTGCTGAATGAGGAGGAGAAAGCAATGGAGGTGCAGCAGGTCTAGGAAGCTCTCTAGGGCAAAAGATAAAAGGACTCTCATCCTAACGTATGACCTGGACTGACTGACCACCAGCATTATTTACTTATGTGGCTATTTTGTCAGAACATTTGGTCAGTCTTAAGTACAGTAAGTCACACAAAATATGTGTAATACTTTCGATTAGGTTAGGACCTATTCAGATAGAGTTTGCAGGACCGTGTTTGATCAGACACAGTCACCATAGCAACTACACCTTGTGTACTGCTTCAGTCACAAATAAGGACATGCCAGGACAAGTACTGATACTGGAACAAGGAATGGGCATTTATTGAAGTTCAGTTTAAACTAAAGAATGGAAAGAGAGACAATGTGAAGGAGATGAGACCATGAGCGAACATGGGTTTAATTTCTGTTGATGACATTTGAGCCACTATACAAATAAAACAGAAATGAACTGAATTGAAGACTTAGGACATGCAGTTAAAGGCTCTGGAAAAAGCTAGCAGGTGGACCTGAAGTTAATCGTATTTTGTGAAACTGACTGCATCATATCAATTCTGTCCAAAGAGCAGAGGCTACAGGCCTCAATATCAGTTTAATCCTTGACTGCACAGTTTGAAAATGTGATATCTTCATTTGTTTTTGTCTTACAGGATGATGTAATGGGAACAACATCAGAGCTAAGTCTATCCTGTATCAGTTTATCAGGTGGGGATAAACAAACTTTTTTTGGGGGGGGGGGGTCACGAAATGCACGTTTAAAAAACAAACTCACTGGCAGCTTTTCTCACTCAGGCCCTACTGAAAAGATTCACATTGCTGAGTCATCATCCACACTACCACACCACCAGTCAGCTAATACTGATGTCTCTGTGTCAACGCTGCAGCTCACAAGCTCACAAGCTCACAACTTCCTTCTCCCTCTTCTGCTTCCTGTTTGCCCTCATGTATTTGAAGTCAACCTGTGATGTGATGAGATGGCAGGGGACAACACCCTAAGGGATTGAAGTAGTGATAATGTGGACTAGTAGTATACCAGTAGACCAAATATCCACTTGTGATATAACCACAGAGAACTTGACTTTCATCATACCTGAAACATGGAGAGTGCGTGGTGGACAGCTGCATCAGCTCAGTCTCCACATCTGCCCATGTCAACACAAGCTAGGACTCCAGTCAAAGTGATGCATATGATGACCATATTTGGCAAAATGGAAATGAAGAAGATAAGGAGGTGATGACAGATTAGAGAACAATGTGTTTTGAGTGATAGCAGCTTCCTTATTGATAACAGTGACAGCACTGATAATATTTATATGTGACTTAACTGAATCTTGTGGAGATGTATTACAGTCCTTTCAAGATTACCTGGAAACGGGGACCAAGATCAACTGGAAAAAAATAGACCATCAAAACTACACATACTCAGCAGAAGCATCGACACCACAAGACAGGGTGAAGGGGTTGACATGGAACAAGAAGAGGAGCATTTTGTGACATCCAGCTTGACTCTAACATAAGTGCAACAGAAGTGTTTACCAAACACCTCTACAGACAAGGGGGAAACAGGACAAATTAGAATCACTGCCTAGCAGTTATATGCCTCCGCCAACCAGTTTACAGTACGTCTGTCCAGACTTATATAATGTATGTAGCGAAGACTTTGAAAAGAATTTAATAAAAGGTATTAAGTGTATTTAATTTTAAGAAATCCCCTCCATGCACTCCTAAGATTTCATGTTCACAAGAATGGGACAGATGTGATCTTGACCTTTGACCACCAAAGTCCAATCAGTTCATCCTTTAGTCCAAGTGGACACTTGTGCCAAATTTGAAGAAATTTGCTCAAATAGTTGTACAGACAACCTGTAAACATAATGCCTCCAGCTATGGCTACTGCCAGTGCAGAGGCATAACAACTGATTTCAGCATTAACCCTTGCCGATGTACATAAAATTATGCTCTCTGTCCACCTTCTGTGGATAAAAAAAGAGGTATAATGATTACTGTTTTTGGTACCACAGAAGTTGCATCAATCTCAGGAAGCACTGATGATGTCATAGAGGATGAGATGCTGTGAGACCAAAGATACATAAATAAAGGTATTGTTTAAGTTAAGTTTAACATTCTGTAAAGAAAGCATTTCTTTAAATGTCATACCTGTAACAGTGATGAGCTTGCTGTCATTGTACAGTCATGGCCAAAAATATTAGCACACCTGCATTTCTGTCAACGCAACACTTCAGTAAAATTGTTGAATGTTTATTTATTTTGCTTGCATTGGAACAACACAAAAAAAACAGAAAAAAACCAAATCTGATACATTCCACACAGAACTCAAAAAATGGACTGGACAGAATGAAGCAGCAAAGCGACCTCAAAACATCAGTGAACCTCCACCATGTTTGATTGTAGGGACCATCTCTGGAGATGGACTTGGAGCCTTGAGACTGTCCAGGCCACTATTGTGGTTCTCAAATCCTCCCGACAATTCTTTGCTCTTCTTTCTTTTCTCCATGCTCAGTGTGGTCCACATGACACAAATGTTGAGTCAACTTTTCTCCAATGGTTGCAAGTGTGAGCATTACAAATTAAAGAAGCATCACCTGCTTGAAATGCAACTATTTCTGATGATTCTGAAAAGGTGTCAATTCTGTCCATTCTATTTTTTGAAGTTCTGTGTGGAATGGATCAGATTTTGCTTTTTTAAATTATTATTATTATTCTCAATGCAAACAAAAGAAATAAACACGTGAATACCAAAGAATTTGTGATTAAGAGAATTTTCTAGAAGCGGTGTGTTATCTGACAGAAATGCAGGGGTGCCAAGATTTTTGGCCTTGTCATATATATACAGTGCCTTGCGAAAGTATTCGGCCCCCTTGAACTTTGCGACCTTTTGCCACATTTCAGGCTTCAAACATAAAGATATAAAACTGTAATTTTTTGTGAAGAATCAACAACAAGTGGGACACAATCATGAAGTGGAACGAAATTTATTGGATATTTCAAACTTTTTTAACAAATAAAAAACTGAAAAATTGGGCGTGCAAAATTATTCAGCCCCCTTAAGTTAATACTTTGTAGCGGCCAACACAAACTAGACTTTTTCAGTAATTTGTTGCTTTGCTTTCCTTCATCAAAAGGACCTAAACAATTGTTAACCTCAGCTCGAAAATGATTTTCAGAACTCAAAGATCTCCGGTACAGCCTAACACTAAACAATTCCTCATGATCTGCCTCTGCAGGGGTACTAATGCCATCGGAGCCACACTGTATAAAACAAATACATGAAACGATCGATTTAATTCATGTAGACTGATGAATGCACTTTTGACTGTTTTGGCATTTTGTGATGTGACTTTGTGGTGTTGGGTGCCTTTAATCCTTGTGTATTTCATCTCACTCCAACAGTGTGTGAATACATTTTATATACTTCTGTTTGCAGGAGTGTGTGTGTGTGACAGACAAATAACATATGTACAATAGGTCAGAACAAAACTATCTGCCCAGTTAATGTAATTGTAATATGATCGTTAAATTGGCTCATGGATAGATGTTAAAACGAACCACCCTGTTGTTTATCTGTATTCAATGGCCCGTGAGTCAAAATTCACACCTAAAGTCATTCAAATGAATCATCATTAGCGTGGAAGGAAAATACTTAAACAAGTCTCACTCATCCACTAACATGAATTAGCGAATTGCGTGTTTGCTTAACTGCAACTAACAAAACGAGGATGTAGGTAAATATTGAAATTCCCTTCGATTGGTGGCCAGTCTGTAAAGCACCGGGTGAGCAGGCGCTCCCTATTGATGAGCTTCAGCTAATCCATCGCATTTCCCTGTAAATAGCTTTCTGCATGAGAAAGAGACCCCCCCCCCCCCCCC